TTCTATACAAATGAACACCACAAAGTCCATGAAAAGCATCTGGGAAACACCTTCTAACAGCGTTGTCAATTGAGTTTGCCCTATCGGATATGATTGTCAGATTGCTAATAGGACCTATGCAATCCCTAAGATGCCCCATAAACCATGTCCATGAATCAGAGGTTTCAGATTTGCCAACCCCGTAAGCTATTGGCAATATCCCATTGTTAGCATCCATGGCTACTGCTAATAAGTTTACTCCAAGGTATCGACCTTTCAAATGTGCTCCGTCAACTATAATAATTGGGCGCATGCAAGTAATAAACGAACGAATCTACAAAATAATATACACAAGAAATATAATCATTTAAATGTGAAATGCATGTAACTAACAAAAATGAGTCAACAAAATTATATTGATTTACTAACCGTAGCACCAATGGCGATAAACAGCAACTCAAAGCGTCCATCTCTATCTGTTTTGATATGAGTTACCGACCCAGGATTTTTCAGCTTTAAATTGTGACAATAAGCCGGCAGTTGGGCAAACGATGCTTCTGGCGACCCCCTCAACAATTCCAAGGCATAACATTTGGCTCTCCAAGCTTGAGAATATGATATACTAATCTTGAACCGAGCATTCATGTCAGTCATAATTTCATGTCCCCGATATACCCTGCCATTCAAAAACATTAACTCAGCCAGAAAACCACCCAACACCTTTTTGTTTGCCTGTCTATGGTGAGGAAAAACTTGGGTTCTTGAACATGTATGTTTATCAATAAAAGTCCTAACTTGAAACATTTTGCAATCTTTTATTCTCTTTGCAATCATACGCCACGTACAGTTTTTGTCAATCATACACCTTGTTTCGAAACGATCTTTGCTTGATTTGTTAACTTTTAGTTGATAGCCATCTTCCACACATTTCGTATATAAAGCTATCTTCAAGTCTTCCTTTGTATCAAAACAATCATCTTTCTTGATACGAATAACTTTTGTGTAACAATCAACTGCTTTCTTTATCAACTCTTCTTCCGGTATCTGAAGTAATTCTGGCATATTCCAGTTATACGCCCGTGGCATTTTCTTTTCTTCGGGGACTTTTTCTTCTTCTTTTTCTTCTTCAGGATTATATGAATTACAGAATGGATGTTCAACATGTTCATTCACAGTCGTAACTTCCTCCTCATTATCATCAACATTACATTCTTCGGCAACGGCTGTTTCATCATCAAAATTCGGGTATTGACCAATATCAATATCATTACACGCATGGTCTGTTTCTTCTTCTGAAACATCATCAAAATCCGTGTATTGACCAATATCAAAGTCCGGATATTGACCAAGACCAAATTTCGAATACTGACTAGTACTCACAATTTTTTCTGTTGGCTCATCATCGTCTAACTGGTCAATACGAAAACCGGAATTTGGTGCTGAAAGTTGATTGGGATTTGGATTAGAGAAAGGTTGTGGGTTTTGAGAAAAACTTAGTTGATTACTACCCGCTACTGACCCAACAATACTACTTCTAGGTTCAACAACATACAATGTAACATCATCTTGTGAAACACTAATGTAAGCAATGAATCGTTCAACATCTTCATTGTCGGTTAACAAATAAACTTTACCATTTCTCTGATAAGATAGCCTAAATCCACTTAGGGGCTCTAAATTCAATTTATTTGAAACACGTAGCATTAGAGTTTCATAAGTTAACTTTTGTAAAGACAATTTTAGTTGAAGATTCATGGGTAAAGGCATATATTGTAAAACACCATGAACATTATCCCATGACCCTCCAAAACACAAATCTATCCAAACATGATCAACATTAGATGATTTCATGGTTGTAAATTAATTTACTAAACAGACGAGCTGCGAAACTAAAACCTGTTGCCGGATTGGGAAGGATGTCGTTGGATATAGGAACGGATGTCGCCGGAGAGAGTGATAGATGGAGATGGAATGAGTTGCGATTTAGGGATTTAGTTTATGATTTCAGTGTTATATACCCAAAATTTCAGTGTTGTGATTTACAGATTCTCGTTGCGATTTACGGATTATCGTTGCGATTTACAGATTCTCGTTGCGATTTACGGATTATCGTTGCGATTTACGGATACGCGTTGCGATTTACGGATTATCGTTGCGATTTACGGATACGCGTTGCGATTTACGGATACGCATTGCGATTTACGGATACGCGTTGCGATTTACGGATACACGTTGCGGTTTACGGATACGCGTTGCGATTTACAGATACGCGTTGCGATATACGGATACGCATTGCGATTTACCCATACGCGTTGCGATTTACGGATACACGTTGCGATTTACGGATACGCGTTGCGATTTATGTGTTCGCGTTGCGATTTTCATATTCGCGTTGCGATTATGGAAAATCGCAATGCGAATTTGTACTATCGCATCGCGATTTTCAAGAATCGCGTTGCGATTTTGGAAACTGATTTGCGATTCTGGGGATCGCGTTGCGATTTTTATTTCGCGTTGCGAATTTGTTGGTCATTTTGGCAAATCCAAAAAAAGTTGGTTAAAATCGTATATTATAACTTTTTTTTGGTCACTGAGGCGATTTTCTCTTTTTTTAAACCCCAATTTTATTTTTTTATTATAGTTATATAATTATATTTATTATTTAATATGTTTTACCTTAAATATTATGTTGTAGTTGATTTGAATCATTTTGTTTCATTTGATTTTATGGTTTTTCATTTATACATGTTATGACTTGTGATATTTTTATACCTTTTAATATTGTAAACTTAAAAAAAGTGTTACATATATATTAATATTGTTTTGAATATTATGTAAAATTAAAAAAATATATTATTTTATATAAAATCGGGTTCAACCGCGGTTGAACCCGATTGAACCAGTGAACCAGTGAATCAATACCTTCACCGGTTCAATGTCCGGTCCGGTTTTGAAAACATTGGAAATAACCAACTTCAATCACTTACCTTAGCAAAAGAGAAGGGTCACGGTAGAAGAAAGAAGAAGAGAAGATGACCTAGCTTCCAGATATTTATTTTTCATTATTTCTCTTTATCCCACATGTTAAATACCTTTAAAATAAATTTTAAATTTATTTCTTGTCAAAAGACCACTTTGCCCTTCAATCCTTCAATCTTTGATAATAAGTCACAGACAACATTTTTCCAAAATTAGTCTTTGAACTTTCAATTAATCAAAATATAACCACTAACTTTTAAATCCTTACACTTTAGTCACTAAACCGATGTTTGGGGTGTTACATCACGTCATCTAACTTGATAATGTGACATATTCCATATCAATAATTAAGCATATATGAAAATATCACGATAGCAATATGAATTGATTATTAGTCAACTAATGGTTTTCATTCAAGATAAGTTATTTTGACCAAAAATTAAAACGTTGGGGGTCAAAATACTAAAAAAAAGAGCTAAAGTGACTATTATAATAAATGATTTGTTAGGGCCTAATTTTGACAATATACCTATATTCAAAATAGTTTAGGTTATGTCACCCGAGTTTGGTTCGCCGGTAGTGTTCGTGGGGCCACGTTCGAACTCTCAACTCAATTAACGTGCAGCCAACTAATGAGAGTAGGCAGCAGCGGACTGATTTTGCCTTAAATCACCAAAAATATCTTCCCATCCAACTAGCTTTATTTCACTCTTTTTGCAAGCATTTATCCAGCCTGGTTTATTTCACTGAAGGAAGAGATCATAGACATGTAGAAGCGATTCATTTTGATCTAGTTGATGAACATCTAAATTATAAATCCCAGTATCTATTCGAGAAATCAGCTTTCCCTAATATATGTATTGGAATCAACATCCTGCATTCTTATATAATGCAGTTCATATGAAAAACTGAATCCTGATCTTCCTTCGTTTGTGGATTTCAGCTATGTTTGTAAATGAATTGGGTTTGAACAAATAAATTTGTGTTTGTATTTCTTTGTTTACTTTTGAAGCATAAATGAATCGAGTTTGAGCAAATAAACTTGTGTTTGTATTTCTTTGTTTACTTTTGAAGCATACTCGTCCCAAAAGATGTGTAGGTCATGTACTACTTTCTAAAACGAGGTCCATAAAATATTTTATAATAAAATGAAATTGTAAAATATCAAAACTTACCATATTACAATTGTTTTTTATAAAATAAAAAAATCCAAACGCATGAAATTAAAATAATGTCACAAAAAAACTCTATAATTGTGTCATTTCATTTAAAAAATGACATCATTCGAATGCTCTTAGAAGTAAAATCATGACATTTTTTTTAAAGTGTAGCCTCCAGATTTTGAGGCCATGTGACGTATCACAGGCCACACTTGTAAATGAACGAGCTTGTTTTGAAGATATTCATGTTCGGTTTTGTACGTTTACATTTTTTTTGTCTTCCTGGTTCCAAGGCCTCGTCTTGGCTTGCACACCTGGTTTTGGTGGGTGATGTTGAGAGTTACAGCACAGCAGATCCATGCATGCTCCCATGCATGCTCGTGCATTGGATGGTGAGATGATTCTAGAAATAGTCTAGAAGCTAGTTGGTTATAGGTTTGTTATTCTTAGCTGTATAACATAATTTGTTAAGCAATTTTTTAAGCATTGTAAAGGTTGCTATATAAGATGATGTATAGGAAACATGAGACTTCACTTCATCTTCTTTGATTGAATAAATAGTGTGCATGAATTCTTGAAGTATGGCTGCTTTCTCACATGGTATCATTCGCCAAAGATCCTGACGTCATCTTTCTTCTGCTGTTTCCATTCCGTTTTTTGATTGGGTTCCTCAATCGCTTCAAAGTTTCCTCTGTCGCCTCCTTCTCAGTTTCTTCATCAGCGACTACAGGGCCAAGATCGAGACCGATTTTTCATAGATTTGCGCCGGAATTGAAGCTCCTTGACGAGAAGCTTGTTCTGGCTGCTGGAACCGACGATTCCAAGGTGTTTTACCTGAAAATGAAGGGGAAAAGAAAAATAAACATCAGCTCTTGCAGATTCATGGCGAAGCTAAAGGCAAATGTACTGCTCAATGCATTCATTGCTCTTTTCTTGATATCAACAGCCACCGCTGCTGGCAACTCCCCCTTTGTCATCACTCACAAGAAGGCATCGCTCACCAGACTCAAATCCGACGCTGAACGTGTGTCTGTATCCATCAAAATCTACAATCAAGGCTTCTCGACAGCATATGATGGGAGTCTCATGGATCATAGTTGGCCTAAAGATGCATTTGATGTCATCAGTGGTAATATTTCACAGTCATGGGAGAAACTTGATGCTGGTGGTGTTATGTCACTTTCATTTGAATTAGAGGCCAAAAGACAAGGAATGTTCTATGGTGCCCCTGCAGTTATCACTTTCCGTATTCCCACAAAGGCTGCTCCACATGAGGCATATTCAACTTCGCTCTTGCCATTAGATATCCTCGCCAAAATACCTCCCGAGAAGAAGTTTGACTGGGCCAAGAGATTGCTGGCTAAGTATGGATCTCAAACCTCTTTAATATCAATTGTGGCTCTTTTCGTCTATCTGTTGGTTACCCCATCAAAATCCAGTGGTGCAAAAGCACACAAGAAGAAGCGCTAAGGATTTGTAGTTGAGCTCTGTTTGCAGTTCAAAAGGTTTTTTTTAATTGCTTTTGTTGTTTTAGAACTAGTTTCGTATGGATGTGTTGCATGGTGTTGCATTGCTGGTTATTTTGGATTGTACATCATCATGATTTGTTGTTTCTATCTCAAAGTGTCAAAAAAAATGTGCCAAGGAACCTTGTATAAGAGGATGAAGAATAAAGAAATGAAGGTGAATAAGAAAAACGAAAGAAAGCGTCGACACTTCCGATTCAAGTAGAACGAAAGGAAGCATCGGCACTTCCGATTCAAGTCAAACGGAAGGAAGCATTGACACTTCCGATTCAAGTCGAACAGAAGGATGTATCGCACTTTCGTTTCAAGTGTTCATCTTTTCATCAAGAAAGTTGAGAAAGCAGGGAGAATGTTCAGAGTTACAACACAACAGATCCATGCATGCTCCCATGCATGCTCGTGCATTGGATGGTGAGATGATTCTAGAAATAGTCTAGAAGCTAGTTGGTTATAGGTTTATTATTCTTAGCTGTATAACAGAATGTTGTTAAGCCGTTTTTAAAGCATTGTAAAGGTTGCTATATAAGATGATGTACAGGAAACGTGAGACTTCACTTCATCTTCTTTGATTGAATAAAGAGTGTGCATGAATTCTTGAAGTATGGCTGCTTTCTCACAGGCGAGTCTTTCAGCAGATGTTTTTTTTGCATATACAAAGACTTGAACTCGAGACATTGCTTAAGCGATATCAAATTACTTACTACTTGTTAGTTGTTCGTTTACATTTTTTAATATCGTGACCTTTATTTATTTTTAAAAGTATTCATGTTTAATTTATTTAACGTTGAGAAACGTTTGCTAATATTTTCTTGTGGTTTATAACTCACCAAATACCTCGGTGAAATGTTAAGGGTGCAGATGCCAAAGGGCATGGGTTTTTGAGTCCGTTGGCAACCAAGACTCTCTTCTTTAAACTTTTTTATTTACAATTTAAAAAAAAGATGAAATTACACCATTAATTCTTAAATTCTTTAGATTTTATAATTTGAACTTTTAGTCTTTATATTCATAAATATTTAGAATATAAAAAATAAAAGGAAAAGAAGAATTGGGTTAACGATTCAATAAACGAGTTTGTTTGTGAACATAAACGAACCAAACACACCTCTATTTATATTCATTCGTTTCTTAAATAGACATAAAAAATTTATTTATACTCATTTATTTAATTTAATAAAAAAAAAAACAAAACTTTCATTTTCATGTCTAATTTCAGCTCAAGATTCTGAAAAAGGCTGCAAGTTAATTGAGGACAGTTTGGTCAGACATTGGACATGAAAAAGAAAGGGAAATGTCAAGAGAGTTCAATATAGTGATAGCATTATTTAGTTTAGAGGGTCAGCTAAATGAGCACAGTTCTGCATACAGTTTACAAGTTCTAACTCATCACCAGGAGGGGCGAAAAAGATGGAAACTTTGTCCAATGCCTTTTGTCATCCTCTGGCCTGTTAATAGATTTATAAAACTTGTTATAAAGGGGAAAATGGATCATGTCAACTTTCCATCTTTCAATTGAACAAAAGAAAGAAACATACGCTAATTAAAAAGTATAATTCTTGGTAGCAACAATCTCCCCCAAAAGGTTACAACCTGAGGAAATCCCAAAAGTAAAATACAAATGGTACAAGTGGAAAGATCAACAATTCCGCTGTTCAACTAGATTCCTCATATTGGCTGGACTCAACAAGGATGCTTAAGAAACAATTGCAAAAGTGATTTTAGGTAATTTGTGCATTTAACTTCAACAATGAAAAAAAAAACATAGGTTTTATGGATTTTCAGAGCTACTGAAGAAAATAGTAGGTAAGGTGAGAGAATTGGGAAAAGATAAGAGATTCAGCTAGGATTTTTCAGTGTAGTGCTGGTGGACGGGGGATGACCGGAAAGGAAGGGGCAGGTTGGTGAGGTTGAGGCTGTCGAAGGTGGAGGGTGAACTGATGATTTACAATTTAGGGTTTGGATATAATTTTTAGGTTTAGAAATGATTCTAGATTTTTTTATATAAAATGATTTTTTTTATTTTATTCCACATTTATTAATATAATAATAATAAAACTGCCACGCCACATGAAGAAAATAATAAAAATAAGTCATAGTGACCAAAATATGAGCAATGTCAAAGTTTAGTGAGTAAATTGAAAAACAATTGAAAGTACGATAAGTGGAATATGAAATAGAGTAAAGTTCAATGATGAATAGTGTAGTTTACCCATATATCAATTTTTTATAAATATTAAATATATTATTGTAAAAATTAAAATTTTAAATACAAAAAATTAAAAAAAAAAAGAAAATCAATATTTTTATTTACAAAATTAAGGTGAATCCAAAGTAATATATGTTTAAAGGCTCTCAATCATTTGACAATGCATGCTCATACCGTTACATACGCGATGTTCGAACCCAAGACCTAATAATAACAAATCCCTTAATCATTGAGGTCATTTGATTCGTGCAAATTCAATAATTTAAAATTATTAACAAAAAAAATAAAATTTTAAAATTAAAGGTAAAAAAGAAGTTTTTCAAGACGAAAATGGCGACATTGTGCATTTGATCCTTACCAGCACATAGATCTCAAAAACTTGCGTGATTAAAAAAAGTATCAATCAAACATTTGAACACAAAATTACAAAACTTTAAAGTTTTAAAGTTTTAAAAGGTAATTATAGTACAACAAACTAAATCTCTCCGCTTATACTTTTAGATATATAAAGAAATTTGAAGACATTGGTGGAATGTTCTAGAGTATAACAAAAAGTTATAGAACATAATGGAAAGATTTGAAACAAATACTTTGAAAGGTTCTAGAATACCATAGAAGGTTCTGGAACTAGGAAGAAGATTCTAAAATATTAGAGAGACTCGTAGAAGATTATAGAATTTTAGGGAGATTTCTCCAAGCTTGGACTATTCTAGATTTGTGTAAAAAATATAATGCTTGTATTTGTAGGGGCGTTTGGTTGACATGAATCCCTTGAAATTGGGGGGGAATTGAAATCCAATTCCATCACTTTCCCATGTTTGGTTCAAGTTTTCCAAGCGAATTGGAATCCCTCAAGGCTTTAACTTTCCATCAAATGAGGAAAAGTGAATTCCATCAAAAAATGGATGAAATTCAATTCCCTTGTTGAAAGGAATTGAAATTTGACCATACTACTCTCACCAATCTTTTGGTAACTTATTTATATATTGAATAAAAATATTTTTTATTATTTCGGGTCGGGTCGGGTTTCTAATTCATATATTCGGGTCAGGTCGGGTGAAACTTTATTTTATTCGGGTCGGGTCGGGTTTTTTAAGTGTGATATTAGGGTCGAGTACGGTCAGGTTTTTTTAAGTGTGATATTCGGGTCGGGTTCGGGTTTAGGGTGAAAAAAACGGTCCCGACCCGAAAAAATATATAATTTTACCTTATATATTTAGGAATAATTACAATAATACCCGTCTATATATAATTTTTTTCAATCAAGTCAGTGTTTTTATTGAATAAAAATAATTTTTTTATTATTTCGTGTCGGGGCGGGCCGGGTTTCTAATTCATATATTGAATAAAAATAGTTATTGGTATATGTTTTGGTAACTAATTAACATACTCCGATTGGAATGTATCGAAATATTACTCTATCTTTTGGTAACTTATTAACATATTTTGATTGCGATGATTTTAACTTATGATGTTTATTAGCATGATTTTTATAATTTATTGAAATGAATAATCAATCAATAAAATGAAAATTTAATATTTTTTAATTTTTTATAATATATTACTACATGTAAGTTGTAAAACAAACTAAAATAAAGCAAAAAAACAAGAAGGGCAATTCTATCATTTTACATTACTGAAATCAAATTCATCTGACATGTCTGCGAACCAAACATAATATGGAATTGGATTCCAATTCCATTTCTTGCCAACCAAACAGAATATGGAATTAGATTCTAATTCCTGACATATTCCAATTCTTTCACAGATTCCAATTCCCTCATGTGGCGTTTGGTTGGCATGAATCCCTTGGAATTGGGGGGAATTGGAATCCAATTCCACCACTTTCCCATGTTTGGTTCAAGTTTTCCAAGGGAGTTAGAATCCCTCATGGCTTCAACTTTCTATCAAACGAGGGAAAGTGAATTCCATCCAAAAATAGATAGAATTCAATTCCCTTGTTGGAGGGAATTGAAATTTGATCATACTACCCTCATCAATCTTTTGGTAACTTTTTCATATATTGAATAAAAATATTTTTTTATTATTTCGGGTCGGGTTTCTAATTCATATATTCGGGTCGGGTCGGGTGAAACTTTATTTTGGTCGAGTCGGGTTGGTTTTTTTAAGTGTGATATTCGGGTCGGGTCGAGTTTCGAGTTTAGGGTGAAAAATACCCGACCCGAATATATATATATAATTTTACCTTATATATTTAGGAATAATTACAATAATACATCTCTATATATAATTGTTTTTCAATTAAGTCACCGTTTTTATTGAATAAAAATAATTTTTTTTATTATTTCGAGTTGGGTCAGTTCGGGTCGGATTTCTAATTCATATATTTGGGTCGGGTCGGGTGAAACTTTATTTTGTTCGGGTCGGGTCGGTTTTTTAAGTGTGATATTCGGGTCGGGTTCGGGTTTAGGGTGAAAAAAAACCGGACCCGACCCGAAAAAAAAATATAATTTTACCTTATATATTTAGGAATAATTACAATAATACCCGTCCCGATTGGAATGTATCGAAATATTGTTCTATCTTTTAGTAACTTATTAACATATTTTGATTGCGATGATTTTAACTTATGATGTTTATTAGCATGATTTTTATAATTTATTGAAATGAATAATCAATCAATAAAATGAAAATTTAATATTTTTTAATTTTTTATAATATATTACTACATGTAAGTTGTAAAACAAATTAAAATAAAGCAAAAAAAACAACAAAGGCAATT